ATAAATGTATATATTTAGTATCAGGTCCCCTTAAAGAAGGGTCAAAAATATTCCAAAGAGGAAAGAACCTCCAAAGATTCTTATACCCCAGCTTGTTTTGTTGTTGTTAGGTGCCATCAAGTAAGTTCCAACTCATAGCTACCTCATGTACAACAGAATGAAACACTTCCCAGTCCTGGGCCATCCTTACAACCCTTGTTATGCTTGAGCCCATTGTCGCAGCCACTGTGTCAATCCATCTTGTTGGTGGTCTTCCTGTTTTTTGTTGACCCTCTACTTTACCAAGCATGATGTCCTTCTCCAGGGACTAGTCCCTCCTAATAACATGTCCAAAGTATGTGAGACTAAGTCTCACCATCCTTCCTTCTAAGGAGCATTCTGGTTGTATTTATTCCAGGACAAATTTGTTCATTCTTCTGGCAGTCCATGGTATATTCAATATTCTTTGCCAACACCATAATTCAAAGGCATCAATTCCTCTTTGGTCTTTCTTATTTATTATTGTCCGACTTTCGCATGCATATGAGGCAACTGAAAATACCACAGCTTGGGTCAGGTGCACCTTAGCCCTCAAAGTGACAACTTTGCTTTTTAGTGCTTGAAGGAAGTCTTTTGTAGCAGATTTGCCCAATGCAATACATCATTTTGTTTCTTGACTGCTGCTTCCATGGGCATTGATTGTGGATCCAAGTAGAATGAAATTCTTAACAACTTCAGTATTTTCTCCATTTATCATGATGTTGTTTATTGATCTAGTTGTGAGGATTTTTGTTTTCTTTATGTTGAGGTGCAATCCATACTGGTTTTTTTGTTTTGTTTTGTTTTGACCAGAAATGAGTGGAGTGAGTTTTGAGAAAGCCAGGAGGGATTTGAAGTGAGTTGATGGCCACTGAGTAAGCAGGTTTCGGAAGCCCCATATTTTCCGGAACCTAAAGTATGATAAGCGTGAAGTTCAGCATTATTAGTGCATGCTTGAGAACCTCTAACAACCAGCCCTACCTAGCTCTTCATTTTCAGCTCACGTTTCAGGTAAGGAGTATTTTTGTCTTTGAAACTCAGTTGCACAGTCAGGGGAAGGGAGAAAACAGTGACACCATCTTTTTAATTAGCATTGCAACTGAAAGAGAAATTAACATCACCCTGAATTTTGTGTGATGTCAGTAAATGAAGGTATTTTATAACACTTTACAACAAATTAAAATCAACTAAATTGAAAATAAGCGTAGAAGCTGGGATAAGTAATCAGGTAAGTGGCCAGTTTTGCAATTTTTGCTTTGAGCTGAAGATAGAACTTGTATTTCTTTCTTTCTTTTTTTTTTTATTTTATTGTGCTTTAGGTGAAATTTTACAGCTCAAGTTAATTTCTCATACAAAAATTTATACACATACTGGTTTTTGACATTAGTTGCAATCCTCACAATGTGACACACACTCCCCTTTCCACCCCAGGTTCCCTGTGTCCATTCAACCAGTTCTTGTCCCTTCCTGCCTTCTCATCCTGCCTCTAGATAGGAGCTGCCCATTTGGGCTCGTGTATCTGATTGAACTAAGAAGCACACTCCTCACATGTATTATTTTTTGCTTTATAGTCCTGTCTAATCTTTGTCTGGAGAGTGGGCTTTGGGAATGCTTTCAGTTCTGAGTTAACAGAGCGTCCAGGGGTTATAGTTTCAGGAGTTCCTCCAGTCTCTGTCAGACCATTAGGTCTGGTCTCTTTATATGAATGTGAGTTCTGGTCCACCCTTTTCTTCCACTGCATTCGGGACTCTCTGTCACCTAGTTTTGTTGGAAATGTTCACGTGATTTGGTTTTGCTATCTACTTCTTATGTTTTCTTATATGGAGATTCACAAACTATGCTGCTACAATCACCCTCTTCCCAGATTGATCTCTTTATACTTCTGGGAGTGCCTGATACATATCATTAAGTAAAGTTTCATGTTGGTAGTATGGCAAAGTGTTTAACAGTGTGACATTTGAAGTCACACTGCACAGATTTAAATCCTGACTTTCCCACTTGCTATCTGGGTGACCTTGGGCAAATTAATTAACCTCTATGAGCCTTAGTTTACTCAAATACAAAGTGATTATAACAACAAAATACCTTACAGGTAGTTTGAGAAGTGAAGTGAGGTGGGGGTGAATTCTTTCAAGGTTTCAAGAAAAAGATAGTTATTTAACAGCTTAAATTTTATCAGATCAGAGAAAAAATATTATTCAATTCACCCCCTGAAACAGACCAATCTTGTATATCATTGTAGCAAAAGTAAAGCAAATACATGTAATTGTAAAAATCCTCATCGGCAAACAGGAATATTGATTTAAAAAAAATGAAAAAAGTGTTTTGTCACAGTCAAGAGTGTTCCTATAAGCACATAAAGTTCCTAGTACAGAGAAAGTTCTCAGGACATGTCACCTCATTTAAGAAGTGCCTCAACTGAGCAATGAACTAAGTACTTTGAGGACATAAGGAGAGAGAGTAAAAATCACAGTTAGAGACTCTAGAGAAGATATCACTATAGGGACATTCAAACAAGATTTGCAGAATGAGTAGAAGTCAAACTGGAAAATGAGAGTGGGGACATTGGAGCAGAAACCAGAGAGGTAAACTGCGTGTTTCTTTTTCATCCCAACTGTTCCTTCTTAGTTAGACATATTTTCTGGAGCCATATTCATCAAGCTGGCCTTAGGATTAGACCTTTACCTGGCAATCATCATCCTCTTGGCTATCACTGCTGTTTACACAATCACTGGTGAGTTCATTGCATGTTTATCTTACATACTGCCTTCTGCTTATCCCACTACAACTTTCAATTAGGAACATCAGCATTAGCCTTGTTGCCACCAAGGTAAGGACATCAGTGGTGTCAACTAGGGTTGGTGTTACCCAGTACGATAACTCATGGTGTCCCCCACCCCGCCATGGACCTCCTCCCATACCAAACCATACAGAATCCTTAGTAATGTTTTTTGTACTAATGTTACTCCTTCTTTTCTTTAAATTACTACTTCACTATCAAAAAAGTTATTGCTATAGGCTCACTAATGCTAATTACAGATTATTGTACCTAAAAATACCAGAAAATTGGACAAAATCAACAACTATAAAAACACCTGCAGCAACAAAAACAATGGTGAGTGTTTGTAGCGTATGCAGATGAAACCATGTGATTTGAAGCATCATTGTAGTTGGGTAATAATGACAGCTCTGACCAGAGTGTATTAGAAGGTTCAAAACGTAAATTAGCTTAGAGAGAGATTTAGCCTTGTAGGTATATTGATACATGTAAGCTGGGCTTAGGAAAAATGTTGTTGTTGTTATAACCAACTACAGTAATATTTTTATAGTGTCATATTGGTGTCACCCCATCTGACAGTGTCATCAGGTGCAGTCTGCACCCCCTGGACACCCCTAGTAATGCCACTGAAGGACACCATTCTATTCCCACTATGAGAGTCAGGTACATGCCCAGGAACACAACTAGAGTTAAGAAAATAGAATCCTCAGTATTAGATGTGAGCACCTTGGTCAAAGATAATGAGGTGAGTACTAGGGGTGGAGAACTAGTGATCTGTTTCGGGTGTATGTTCAATACCCAGATTGACAGTTAGGAACCCAGAAGATAGTACACATGGAAGGTCAGGGTGAAATAACAGCTCACACATGAGATTGGGTAATGCAAGATGGGCCCCAGTGAATAAAGGATGCCAGGACATGGTGGTGGGTTATGAGTGGCAGAGTCAGGGAGGAGAACTGGGGTAGTCACCTGGCTGTGCGGGGAAGGAGTGTGGCAGTAGTCCAAGCAGTTTCTTACAAACCAGGTATGTTATAGTAGTGTCACAAGTATATTAAATTATGAAAATTAAATTATACCGGCTCTGTAGGAAAAACTAAAAAATAAATAAATAACAGCTTGGACAACCAAGATAGTTCTGGAGCCATTTTCATACAATGAGCATTTGTTTCAGGATAAGTGAGAGACAGAGGTATAAATCTGGTGTTTTCAGGATCCATTTAGTTTCCCTATGACACTCTCATTTCCAAAATATCTCCCTGACTGTAGATAACTAGTGTGTCTAGAGTTTAAAGAGAAGTTTTTGGGGTTTTTGGTATAACATTGTAGCAAAATACAAGTCAGTTACTATATCTAGTATTCAACCAAAGAAGCAATGTGAGAGAATAGCCCAAGACGGCAGCTTAGTCAGACATACCATGCCATCCCCCTACAGCAAAGACTGGAGAAACCAAGTGAAACAGATACAGTTGACAATTTTGGAACCCTGAGCAGCAAACAGAAGAACAAAGAATTAGATCAAACACTGAATAGAAGGAGAAACTGAATGAAAAAAATGAAAGAGATTAGGTATCCTCCCAGCTGACCCGGTGCAGTGTGGCAATCTTGAGACAAAGTGAGCAGAATTCCTGGATAAGGGGCATAGGAAGGCAACTTCATGGAATTTCCAATAAGAGACAGAGATACTGTGTAGACAAATCCAGAGTGAAGCAAAGTGCCACTTGCACCTCTGCCAAACAACAAGCAGGAGATCCTAGCCCCCTCATCCAATGTCTGCCGAGCTTTAACGTCACACATCCCACACCCAGACAGTTCCTGCAGGCCAATTGCACATGCACTGTAACTCCTTGGTTCCCCCACTACCTACCAATTTGTGCATACACAGAGGGCCTATCCCATCCATCTGGCTAGCACTCCCTCACAGAGACTACAGCAATGTCCTGTCCTGACCTCCAGAGGACACACTAACTGCTAGCACCAACTTGAAGGGCCCTAGGGTCCCACAAGGGCTGTGGAGGAACCCTGACCATTCAACACTTGTCACCCAATATAAGGGAAAGAATCTGATCCACCTCCACTCAATACTGTAAGAGAAGATATATGAGCTTAACCACAGAGGACTGACACATGGATGTGATCCACCATACCCACTAGTGAGAGGAAATCACCCAGTCAACTGACCCCACCGAAGTCACACATACACCAGTACCAGAAAACCAAAACAGCAATTAAAATAACACAAAGGAAGAAAGACTCTCTAAAGAGAATGAGATGAAATAAAGCTCCTGATATATCAAACAAAACAAACAAAAAAATCAGGACTAAACAATTGATAAAGAAATATATAGATAAATAAATTAACACCTTAATGCTTCAGAGACAGCACACAATAACAAATCATATGAAGAAACAAAATAAGATGGCTCAAACAAGTGAGCAAAATAAAGGGACAGAAAACCTTCCCGATGAAGAAACGGTAATAGAACTATCTGATAAGGAATTCAAGACTTATATTTAGGTTCCTTAAATAGATCAAGGAAAATACAAACAAAACCCTAGAAGAATTCAGGATAACAATACAAGAACAAAATGACAAAATAAATAGACAATTAGAAACCATACAAAAATAACAACTAGAAATCCAGAAGTTTAACGATAAAATAGATAACCCAATGGAAGGACATAGAAGTAGAATCGAATCAATGGAAGAAAAAATCATTGAAATGGAGGACAGATCCCTTAATACTATTTTGTTTAAGAAACAATAAAAAAAAAAGAATAAAGAAAAATGAAGAAACCCTTAACCTAACCAGGAATGTAAAAGACTTATACAAGGAAAACTATAAAACTCTACTGCAAGAAACCAAGAGAGACCTATATAAATGAAAAGCATTCCATGCTCATGGATTGGAAAATTTAATATCATGAAAATGTCAATACTACCCAAAGCCATCTATAGATATAATGCGATCACAATCTTAATGCCAACAAGTTTCTTTAATGAAATAGAAAAACTAATCTCCAACTTTATATGTTAAGGAAAGAGCCTCAAATAGCTAAAATAATATTGAAGAAGAACAAAGTATAAGGCATCACACTTCCCAACTCAAAACTTACTATACAGCCACAGTAATTGAAACAGCCTGGTACTAGTTCAATGACAGACACATAGACCAATTGAATAGAATTGAGAACCCAGAAGTAAATTCATCCATCTACGGGCAGCTGATCTTCACCAAAGGGTCCAAGACCATTTAATGGAGAAGAAACAGACTCTTTAACAAATGGTACTGGCAAAACTGGATATCCATTTGCAGAAAAATGAAGCAGGATCCATACCTCATACTGTACACAAAAACTAACTCAAAATGGATTAAAGACCTAAATGTTAAAGTGAAAATTATAATGTTTCTGGAAGAGAACAGAGGGTCAAAACTAGGGGACTTAATTTTCTGCATAAATATCCTATCAAACACAACTAAAAAGGAATGAACAAGAGAAGATAAATTAGATAACTGGGACCTTCTAGAATTTAAATACTTATGCTCTCAAAAGATTTTACCAAAAGAGAACCTACAGACTGGGAATAAACCTTTGGCAATGACATATCTGACAAGGCTCTAATCTCTAAAATATATAGAAAACTTCAACAACTCAACAACAAAAAGACAAACAATTCAATAAAAAAATAAAGGACATGAACAGACACTTCACCAAAGAGGACATTCAGGTGGCCAACAAATACACGAAAAGGTGCTTGCAAACTTTAGCCATTAGACAGATGCAAATCAAATCTACAATGAGATACCATCTCACTCCTGCAAAAATGACAATGATTTAAAAAAAAAAAATTACAAATACTGGGGAGGTTGTGGGAGATTGGAACTCTTATATTCTGCTGGTGGGATTGTAAAATGGTATAACCACTATGGAAAACAGTATGGCTCTTCCTCAAAAATTTAGAAATAGAAATACCATATGATCCAGCAATCCCTCTCCTAGGTATCTACAATACAGATCTAATAAAAGAGACACGGACAGACATATGCACACCCATGTTCATTGCTGCATTATTCACAATAGCAAAAAGATGGAAACAACCTAAGTGCCCATCAATGGATGAATGGATAAACAAATTACGGTACATGCTATGGAATACTATGCAACTACAAAGAATAATGAGTCCGTGAAGCATCTTATAACATGGATGAATCTGGAAGCATATGTATATATATGTTTATTTGTGCTGCATATATATCCATATATATATAATAAAGCATGAAGCCCTGGTGGCACAGCGGTTAACAGCTCGACGGTTAACCAAAATCAGCGGTTCAAATCCACTAGACACTCCCTGGAAATCCTTCTGGGCAGTTCTACTCTGTCCTATAAGGTCACAATAAGTCTGAATTGACTTGATGGCAATGGGTTTGGTTTTGGTAAAATAAAGCATATGGGGGGCACAGTTACGGAGACTTCCAAGACATATCCAGACAACTCGCAGGATGGGTTTCCTGAGTTAAAAGGCTTAGGACCATAGTCTTCTGGGACAACTTAGCTGGCATAAAGAGAGTGTCATAGTTCATAAAGATAGTGTTCTACATTTTAGTTTCCAAGAAGTGTCTGCAGTCTTAGAAGCTACTCATCTGGAGCAAAATAGAATGAAGGAAACAAAAGACTCAAAGAAGAAACTAATCTACAGGACTAATAGCCTACAGGAACCACTGCCTCTTCTAACCTGAGACCAGAAGAACTAGATGGTGTCTGGCTGCCACTACCAACTGTTCTTACCAGGGACACAATAGCATGGGAGGAAAATGTAGAACAAAATTCAAATTCTTAAAAAAGGCTAATGACCAAAGACCAGACATGCTGTGGAATGACATCAAGGATATCATACATAAAGAAAGCAAGAGATCATTAAAAACACAGGAAGGAAAGAAAGAGACCAAAAAGAAAGAAAATACCAAAATGAATGTCAGAAGACTCTGAAACTTGCTTTTGAACGTCGAGTACCTAAAGCAAAAGGAAGAAATGATGAAGTAAAAGAGCTGAAAAGAAGATTTCAAAGAGCTACTCAAGAAGACAAGGTAAAATATTATAATGACATGTGCAAAGACCTGGAGATAGAAAACCAAAAGGGAAGAACACTCTCAGCATTTCTCAAGCTGAAAGAACTGAAGAAAAAATTCAAGCCTTGAGTTGCAATATTGAAGGATTCTATGGGGAAAATATTAAACAATGCAGGAAGCATCTAAAGAAGACGGAAGGAATACACAGTCACTGTACCAAAAAGAATTGGTTGATGTTCTACTACTTCAGGAGGTAGCATATGATCAGGAACTGATGGTACTGAAGGAAGAAATCCAAGCTGCACTGAAGGCATTGGCAAAAAACAAGGCTCCAGGAATTGACGGAATACCTATTGAGATGTTTCAACAAAAAGATGCAGTGCTGGAAGTGCTCACTCATCTATGCCATATGCCAAAAAATTGAAAGACAGCTACCTGACCAACCAACTGGAAGAGAGCCATATTTATGCTTATATCCAAGAAAGGTGATCCAACTGAATGCAGAAATTATCAAACAATATCATTAATATCACACAAAAGTAAAATTTTGCTGTAGATTATTCAATAGCAGCTGCAGCAGTATATCCATAGGGAACCTCCAGAAATTCAAGAGCCAGATTCAGAAAAGGATGTGGAACCAGGGATATCATTGCTGATGTCAGAAGGATCCTAGCTGAAAGCCGAGAACACCAGAAAGATGTTCACCTGCGTTTTATAGACTATGCAAAGGCATTCGATTGTGTGGATCATAACAAATTATAAGTAACATTGCAAAGAATGGGAATCCCAGAACACTTAATTGTGCTCATGAAGAACCTGTGCATAGATCAAGAGGCAATCGTTCGAACAGAACAAGGGGATACTGTGTGGTTTAAAGTTAAGAAAGGTGTGTGTTGGGGTTGTATCCTTTCTCCATACCTATTCAATCTGTATGCTGAGCAAATAATCCGAGAAGATGGGCTATATGAAGAAGAATGGGGCATCAGGATTGGAGGAAGACTCGTTAACAACCTGCGATATGCAGATGACACAGTCTTGCTTGCTGATAGTAAGAGGACTGAAGCACTTACTGATGAAGCTCAAAGACCACAGCCTTCAGTATGGATTGCACCTCAACATAAAACAAAAATCCTCACAACTGGACCAATAAGCAACATCATGATAAATGGAGAAAAGATTGAAGTTGTCAAGGATTTCATTTTACTTGGATCCACAATCAACACCCATGGAAGCAGGAAATGTGCTGCAAAGGACCTCTTTAAAGTGTTGAAAAGCAAAGATGTCACCTTGAAGACTAAGGTGCGCCTGACTCAAGCCATTGTGTTTTCAATCACTTCATATGCATGAGAAAGTTGGATGATTAATAAGAAAGACTGAAGAATTGACACTTTTGGATTATGGTGTTGGTGAAGAATATTGAATATACCATGGACTGCCAAAAGAACAAATAAATCTGTCTTGGAAGAAATACAACAAGAATGTTCCTTAAAAGCAAAGATGGCAAGACTACATCTCATATACTTTGTACATGTTATCAGGAGGGATCAGTCCCTGGAGAAGGACATCATGCTTGGTAGAGTAGAAGGTCAACAAAAAGAGGAAGACCCTCAATAAGATGCATTGACAAAGTGGCTGCAACAATGGGCTCAAGTATAACAACGACTGTGTGGATGGCACAAGACTGGCAGTGTTTCGTTCTGTTGTACGTAGGGTCGCTATGAGTCTGAACAGGCTCGACAGCACGCAGCAACCACAAAAAAAAGACCAGACATACTGGATCAATAGAGACTAGAGGAGCCCCCGAGACTATCGCCCTAAGGTAACCCTTTGAACTTGGAACTGAAGCTATTTCTACAGGTCACCTTTCAGGCAAATAATAGATTGACTTATAGACCCCATGCGTAATGTGCTCCCTTAAGCAGTCAACTATATGAGACCAAATGGTCAACATTTACCCAAAAGCAAGTATGAGAAGGCAAGGAGGGGAAAGGACGCTAAATCAATGGAAACAGAACAAACAGAATAAAAATAATGAGAATGCTGACACATTGTGGAAATTGTAACCAACGTCACAGAAAAATATGTATAAAAATTTTTAAATGAGAATCTAATCTGCTGTGTAAACTTTCACCTAAAACACAATAAAATATTTTTTTAAAAAAAAGAAAGGAAAGGATGTGCTCTCACAGTAGACCAAAAATAGCTTTGCTAGATCTTTTTAGTTCTAGTAAACTGCACTAGATGGAGTAAATTAGGGGAGACTTTCATGATATTAATTTTTTGCCTTTTCCCCTACTCAGGATTCAAAACCTTACCAAAAGATAGAACTACACTCATAAAAATTTTGAGTCAGGGCAAGGCAATGGAAAATCAGTGAGAGACACAAGAACTAATGAGATAATGTTGCTAAAACAAGCTTGTGGCCCAGCCAGGAGCTTTTAATACGTTTGCTCACTATCACATCCCTACTCCCCAGCACAAAGTTTGGCACACGGTAGGCGCTCAATAAAATAACTAGTGAAGAAGTAAATTAATGTCAACCTCAACTCTATAATTATATGATATTTTGATAAATTTTACATCATTTGAACCTATATGAAGTGGTCCTAGGTGCCTGGACTGACCTAAGTTTCCATCTATCATAGTTCTTTTCTACTCCTGACTGACCTTTCCAGACCCCTTGTGGGCTTAGTCTCACCATTTTCCACCTGCATCCAACCTCCTGCCCCAGTTCCTGCTACTTATCTTCCCTTTTTTTTTTTTTAATTGTGACGTAGGCAGAGCACAGTGCTTCACCTGAAAACAAGACTGTGGTAAGATCATACAAGCCCAGCTCTGTGTCAGGAGCAGAGGCAATCATTTCTTGGCCTTTTCAGAGGAGTTGGGGTTTTCTGATGGTTGATTCTGTTAGGTTTACTCTGTTAGCTCACCTTTATGTTTCTTCTCTAGGTGGTTGTGAGACATCAATATCAGTCTGTTGGGTAACAGTTTATTTTTACCATAAATCTAGAAATTAAATCAAAGTTTTAAAGAGCACCATAATAAGAAAAGTTAGAGATGTGCTTTATGTACTTCGTGAAAATAAATTTAATAGCACGATAGATACAAGTGGATCCTGGGAGAAGGACCAGGCTGATGTGCTTGAGCACCTCCACCACAAAGAATAGTCATGAATACCAGGGGTCTTAGGCTTCTGTAAGACATTTCATTTTATCTGATGCCTTTTCAGCATTTGCCGAAGTTGGCGGCTATGAGAGTTTCACAGAGAAGTACATGAATGCCATCCCATCCATAGTTAAGGGTGACAACCTGACGATCAGCTCCAGGTGCTACACTCCTCAGGCTGACTCCTTCCACATTTTCCGAGATGCTGTCACTGGGGATATTCCGTGGCCAGGCACAGTTTTTGGAATGACCATTTTGGCTCTGTGGTACTGGTGCACAGATCAGGTGATGTGTGTGTGTGTGTGTGTGTGTGTGTGTGTTTTAACATGTTTATGTTGTTCTTTTTCTTCTCAGAGAAAAGCTTCTAGTTTCCATTTTATGTTGATATTATATGCACACATTGCTTAAAGAGTCAAACAGTTCTACCAGGCTCGTTATGACAAATAGCTGCCCTACTGTCTCCCTTATTTCTTGTCTCAAAGAGGCAAACACTTTCAGCTTTCTCTGATGTGACTTTGGGATTTATTTCTATTCTCTGAATCCTTGCACTCAGTGTGTGTTCTGTAGACCATCACCATAGATGTCACCATGCAGCTCATTAGGAATGAAGACTCTCCTACCCTACTCAGATCCATTGAAGCAGAATTTGCTTGTTAACATGATACCCAAGTGATTCAAACTGCATGCTTGTATTGCTCCCTCTGGTTTTTCAGTCTACTATTGGATTCCCACAGTGAGAGGGGGTGGATTAGCTCTTTTTCAACTTTCCATCCTGAATCACACACAAGCACACCTCCTGTCGTCTCAGGCTCCCAATAGATTTAAATCACAATTTTGATGAGATCAACATTTAGTGTTTCCATTTTATGATTAGTAAATGTAGTTCATACCTGAGCTACATGGTATCCTCTGATTGCTTCTTTTGTACTATAGTTACTTGTTTTTCCTCCAATTAATAATTATCCTAACTTATCTGGTTTTCAGATTTTCTTGGTAATTATTATTAATTAAACCCCAAGCCCTCTGCAAATTGCCTTAATCTCCTTTCAATACATGAAAACACGTCAAGTATTCTACCAATTCATTTTTCTTGCTTTCTCCCAGAGCCTTTGACCTCTCCTAATCTGGCAGGTTGCTCCTGTACTCAGTGCCCACTCTTACCCAGAACCCCCTTCACTGCCTCTCTCTTGGATTATAGCTCTTATTTCCAATAGCCCATGTATTCTTCTTTCTTGATTAATTCCTTCTTTCAGGGCAAGAAATCCTCCAGTAGCTTCCTGAGAAAGGCCTCATAGGAAATAAATTTATTGTGACTTTGCATGTTTGAAAATATCTCCACTCCAACTTTCCTTAATTGATAGTTTGGTCATGTACAAACTTCTAGGTTGGATATAATTTTCCCAAAGTCACAGATCCATTGTCTCCTTTATTGTTACTGCTGAGAAGGCTGGAGTTATTCTAATTATTGATCCTTTGAATGTGACTGTCTTTTCTCTCTGGAAGCTGTACTTTCCTTTGTCCTTGGTGTTCTGAAATTTTACCACAATGTGTCTTGTTGTGGATCTGTTTTTGTCCATTGTGCTGGGCCACTATAAGCCTGTTTATTCTGGTAATTGATGTCTTGGGTAATTCTGAAGGATTCTTTCTTTGATTTTTTCCATTTATTTTTCTCTTTGGAGACCTTCTATGTTTGGATGGGAGCCCTGGTTGTGCAGTGGTTAAGAGCTACAGTGAGCTACAGCTGGTAACCAAAAGGTCAGCAGTTCAAATCCACCAGTGGCTCCCCGGAAACCCTATAGGGCAGTTCTACTCTGTCCTGTAGGGTCACTATGAGTCAGAATTGACTTGACAGCAATGGATTTATGTTTGGATGTTAGATTATCTGTGCTGGTTTTCTGGTGCTCTTATCTTTTCTCCTTATCTTCCATAACTTGATGTTTTTATTGTACTTTCTATGTGGTTTCCTCAACTCTATCTTCCAGTTTTTTCTGAGTTTGTATTTTTAATTTCCAAGGTCTCCTTAATTTTTGTTTTCTGTTTTATAGTACCTGTTTGTTATTGTTCGTTTGCTTTTTTTAAGTTTTCTTTTCTCTGAATAGTCTCTGTGACCTTTAAGCTTACAATTTCATGATCTTTACCTCATCTTGAATCAATAATTACTTGTGAGTTAGTGTGGGATTCAGTTTTATGTTTCTGTATATAATAAGTCAGTTTTTCCAACATATCTACCAAAGAATGCATCCTTTCACCATTGATTTTCAGGAGCATCTTCCTAAAAATCAACTTTCTTTCTTTATTGTTAAATGTGAAGAAAATATAACTAGACCTTTCTTGGCTAATCAAAGCCTATGACTATTATCAGGACAATACAGAAGACACTGAATCTACTTGATGTTTTCTCATTTTGATTTGGGTGAAATAACATTACAGTGTTGTATCCTGTTCTCTTCATTCTCCCTTGCTCCCGAAGGGATGAGACCAGTGGAGTATCTTAGATGGCCATTCACAGGCTTTTAAGACCCCAGACACTACTCACCAAGGTAGAATGTAGAGCATTGTCTTTATAAGCTGTGTCATGCCAATTGAGCTAGATGTTCCCCGAGACCATGGTCCCCACAGCCCTCTGCCCAACAATTCAGTCCCTCAGGGAGTTTGGATACGTCTATGGGGCTTGCATGACCTTTCCTTCTACAGGTTGTGCTAGTTTCCCTTGTATTGTGTACTGTCTCACCCTTCACCCAAGATACCACTTGTCTATTGACTATTTAGTATTTCCCCCTCACCCCTCCCATCCCTGGTAACTAACAAAGATTGTTACATTTTGTGTGTGAGCTTTTTCATGGGTTTTTACAATAGAGGTCTCATACAATATTTGTCCTTTTGTGATTGACTTATTTCACTCAGCATAATGTCCTCCAGTTTCATCCATGTTATGAGATGCTTCACAGATTCATTGTTGTTCTTTCTCCTTGCATAGTACTCCATTGTGCGTATATACCATCGTTTGTTTATCCATTCATCTGTTGATGGGCATCTAGGTTGTTTCCATCGTTTTTGCTATTGTGAACAATGCTGCCATGAACATAGGTGTGCATATGTCTATTCGAGTGACGACTCTTATTTCTCTAGGATATATTCCTAGGAGTGGGATTGCTGGATCGAATGGTATGCCTATTTCTAGCTTTCTGAGGAAGCGCCATATCATTTTCCAAAATGGTTGTATGGGTGATTATCAATTTTTGCTTTCTGTTTTCATGATATTGTTTAAGCAAAAAAGGAAAACTAATACCAATGTATTATGCAATTGCCACAGTAAAGTGAGATATCACACATGGGCAGCCACCATATTGATTATCACAATTGGCACCTCTTCTTAGATATAGGTGAAAGACACTGGGCTAAATGTAACTAGACACAAGTTTGTTTTATTCTTTGTTTTTTAATATAGGGAATTCTGTGTTCTTTGGAGAATTTATTATCTTGCTGTTTTTCTAGGGGATGAGATCAGCTCCCTGTTTGCACTAATGCTGTAGCTGGACATTCATCTTAAAGAAGTGCCCTGTACCTTAGGTCAGTGCAAGAAGAAATGCAGGCATGGGACACATAGGAAGTCATGTTCAGGTCTCAGGTCAGCCAGATCCGTGACATGAACACTCAGCAATGACTATGCAATGTTGAGTCTCCAAGTCTTAGGCAAATGTATTTTTCCTTTGTGAAGCTACAACTTGTTTCTTTGTCCGTGATCATGGATTGAGCCTGTTTGATCCCAGCTCAGTAAACTCCCCTCTGAACTCCTCTCAGATAAGGTGGCTTGTGTCGTCCCTTCCAAGTGTGTGAAACACTGTGATACTGAAGTTGGCTGCAGTAACTATGCCTACCCAACACTGGTGCTGGAACTGATGCCTGATGGTAAGAAAATGTCTGCACTGGGACAGCCTCGAAGGCCTGTTCTATAGGTGGGCCAATAGGATGGGGGTGGTAAATCCTTGGTTATTCTCACTTCCTTAAACTTAATTCAATTTATCAGACCTTCCTTGAGTACCTTCCACAGGCTTCCAGTGCTGTGCTGGGCCTTGGGAAGAGAGAGACTAAGTGAGTACAGTTCTGTTAGAGGAATCCTTAATCCTTTGGATTCAAGATTGACCTACAGGCCAATTAGGAGCATGATCTCGTACCTGTCAATAAAAGAGTCCCATGGCCATAAACTCACAAACTCAGAAGAGTAGGTTTACTATTTATCTTGCTTTCTTAAGGACAGTGATAGTCAAATAATAGATCCCAATCTATTTGACTTATAACAACTTGAGTACCTACGAGTCCCAGTGTGGCACAAACAGTTAAGCGTTCAAACTGCTTAATCTAAAGGCTGGTTGTTGAAATCCACCCAGAGGCACCTTAGAAGAAAAGCTTGGCAATCTACTTCTGAAAGAGCACAGCCATTTAAAACCCTATGGAGCACCGTTCTACTCTGACACACGGGATCGCCATGAGTTGGGATTGACTTAAGGGCAACTGTTTTCTGTTTTGTTTTATGGTGTGCCTGTCTGTGTTAAGCACTGCCCTGGTTCTTGGGAAACAGGAGAAAAATAGACAAAAAATTCTCTATGCTCTTGGAGCTCACATTCTAGTTTGTAAGAGAGAAAATAAATCACACACATATTAAATAAGTAAATTAGATGGGATGTTAGAAGGTGATAATTTCCATGGTATGCAGAAAGAGTATGGTTCAGGGCTCAGGGGTAACGGGTGATCTTGTACCACAGACACAACAAAGGTTGGATAACACTCTGTGACCTTTTTCCTCCTGATACACATGGGCATTTTTAACAGGAAGGGAGCATGACCCACAAGTGACATCACCACATCCATCCCGTTGCACACTCTGTCCTAGAAGGTTTAGCGGCATTACTAATGAGCAATGGGAAATGGAGCGGGAAGTTGCCATCATGTCTCAAAATCTTCAGCTTTGCGCCACCAAAGATGTCTTCAGCAGAACCAGCTACTAGGCTTCTTCCTTTCCAGTTATTTCAAGTCTTCAGGGGGCCAAGAGTTCCTCCCCAAAGAAAGGTGGCACTGCACTATTTTTTTCAAAATCAGGTTCCAGCAGATGATCTCTAAGTATATATTTAGATCAAAAAATTCTGTAGTGGATTATTCTCAAATCATCAGGAAATATGTAGGAAACATCACATGTTAATGTGCGCGTTGATAGGCACATCAGTTAGTAAACGTTCCAGATGGCAATTTTATCTTTGAATGACTCTCTGGTTTAACAAGGTCCTTATAGACCATGGCTTCCCTCCCCTAACCAGTGTTTGCATCTCTTCTGGCCCCAGGACTTAGAGGCCTGATGCTCTCAGTCATATTGGCCTCTCTCATGAGCTCCCTGACTTCCATCTTCAACAGCACCAGCACTGTCTTCACCATGGACCTCTACACCAGGATTCGGAAGAAGGCATCAGAGAAAGAGCTCCTTATAGCTGGACGGTGAGAGAACTCTAGTTTCCACCTGAAATTTATCTGGAAAAGTGCAGATTTACAACTAAATTTGAGCCCCTTCACCTTTGGTTCCAGTGAAACTCATATAGAATTCTAGAGTAGGGAAAAGGACATTGCTCTTTTGTTGTTAGCTGCCATCAAGTTGTCGGGACTCATGGTGAACCCATGCACAATGAGATGAAACCCTACCCGGTCCTGCATCGTGCCCATAGTCGGTTGCAGATCAAACCATTGTGTTCCATAGGGTTTTCATTGGCTGATTTTCAGAAGTGGATTTCCAGGCCTTTCTTCCTAGAAAAAGAAATATAAGACATTTAATTTAACTTTATGTCTTTCCAGATAACAAACATTGGGTCCTCACCTTTAAATGAAATAGTTTCTTTTTCAGACTTTCAAATGCTTCTGATTGTCTCTTACTTCTTCCTTTCCACACCCCTCTTCACAATTATTAGCGTTTTCATGGAATACAACATTCTCACCTACTCTGATAGATTAATGTATTGTCTCTAGAAGTTTCCATATATATCACATGAAAGAGGTAATAGATTAAGTCATCCATGCCTTACCGCATTGCAGTTTATCAAGTGCATTCGTTAAGAATCAAGCCAGGTTAGAAAGGGACAGACTCAGAGAAGGGACTATTTTCAATAGTCTGCTTATTGAGTTATGTCAATCCAGAGGGCCCTGAGCCACCTGGGGGCCCTGAGGGCATCAGGATGGAAGAGAACAAACAAAAAGGATGGGTGGCATATTCTTGTTTTTCCCCTTCATAATTTTCAAATAGACCATATGTTGTCATGGCATTTTGTAAAATATTTTAAAAAATTAAAGTATAGCATACATACAGAAAACATGTAAAGCATAAATATACAGCTCAAAAATTTATCACAAAATGAGACCCATGTAACCATAAGTCAGGTCAAGATATGGAAATTACCAGCACCAAAAAGCCCCCTTGGGCCTCCTTTTTTCCAAAGCTAACCACGATGACTTCTAACAGTATAGTTTAGTCTTTTCCAGAGGCATTCCCTGATGTCTTCTTTTGCTCAGATTGTGTTGGAGATGTTCAGTCATGTTGTTGTGTGTAACTGTAATTCATTGATTTTCTTGCTGTACAGTATTACATTGTAGGAATATATTACAATTTATACATGCTGCTGTTAATGGACATTTGATTGTTTTGTAGTTTGGGGCTATTACAAATAAGCTGCCTTGAGCATTTTGGTCTATGTCTCTTGGTGCACATGGACACATATTTCTGTCAGGTAGATTGCTAGGAGTGTGCATGTCTTTGGCTTCCAGTCTTTTAAAATCTAGTCACTCTGGCTAGAAAGGAATGTGGGAAGAGATCTTAAAAGAAGACAAATCAGATTATGACTCTTGCAAAAATTCTCAGATTTATGGTGATATTAAATCTAAATATCATTAAAGTAGTAAGAGTATGAATGCATCATTTCTCCTTCTATGCTTTACTTTTTTTTTGTACTCTTACATATGTTTATTGTTTATAATGAAAATGTACAATTATGTACTTGTGGCTTAGCACTTGAAGCTTCTTTCAGGGTTTCCCATTGGGTGGAATGGAAGCAGGAGCCCTGATATTATTCCCTTAACCTGGAATCTCCCCCTTCCTCATGGCTCATTCATTGAACGGGGTAGCCTGGGCACCCAGCCTCAGTGGATCCAGCGCAGGAGCACTCGCAGTCCAGTCCAGAGTACAGTGTCTATGAAGACCAGTCTTGGAGGATCCCTGCCAGCTTTTCAGTGAAATGGGGTGTGAAGAGAAACTGACAATTTGCTTAAAAGATTGTGCTTTCTTGGTGACATTTAATACAGTTACAACTAATGTAGTAAATTAAACACTTAGGGGAAAATTCTCAAGACCCCTCCTGATCTCAGTCTTGACTCTGGAAAAATGCTGTAGGAAACAGAGAACAGTAAGACATCTGTGTTTCTATGGTGGATAAAATGATGGACTGGAATTCAGGAGGCCCAAGATGCAGTAGTCCCACTAATAGGTGTATGATATCGAGCACAAATCCTGTTTACGTCTCAATGGTAAATTAATGACTCTTTCTTTCTCTCTCTCTCTTATTCAATACCTATTATCTCCAGGACACAATTAGGAAAAAAAATTTCCTCCTTCATGGTAGTTATGCCTTTGTGGGGAGATAGGTGATAAATATGTGCTACATCAGGTGGCAAGAGTATGGGAAGAAAATGAAAGCAGGACAGGAGGATGGGGGCTATTTAAGACCCGGAGTTCTCTCTGAGTAGGTGCAGCTGAGCAGAGCCTTGAAGTAAATGCAGGAGTGGGCCCCTGGGCTCTCTGGGGAAGGAACTGCCCACATTCCTCTAAGTGTCACGTACTTGGCATGTTAGAGGACAGCAAGGAGTGAGGTTGGCACATGGGGAGCAAGTGGGAGAGTAATAACAAACAAGATCAGAAAGGTCATCATCAGAGAGTTCATGCAGGGTCATTTAAAGCCATAACAAGACTTTGGATTTTATTCCATATGTGATAGGAAGCTATTGAAGATAAGAGCCAGATGGAATATGATCTGATTTCCAACGATAATAACAGTAATGATGGTACGTGTTATTTATTGAATCCTTACACTGTTCCAGGCATTCTGCTAAAACTTTTCATGGTTTATCACGTTTAATTTTTGCAAGGTTGAGGAGGATTTGTAAAGCTTAAATGAGACGCTGTGCCACAATATTCTGCTCAAATGCTTGTTCCTCTTGCCACCTAATCACCACCTCTCTGTGTCATGTGGGTATGATAAATGATGGTTTTTTTATGGACAGTCTAATAAATTATACAGTAAAACCTGCGAAAGCCGGAACCTGTGTAAGGCGGAAACCTGTCAGAGATGAATTCAAATATTTTCCACTAATAGACAACAATAGAAAAGTGGTAAGACTGTACCCTGTTTAAGGGAGAAAACTTGTAAGACCCGGAAAAACAAGGCAGTCCTGTCAAGTTCTGGCTGTCACAGTTTTCACTGTTCATACAACAAGCACAGAGTACTGTGGGGTTTAGACAGGTGAACAAGTCATGCTTCCTGAGCTCCAAGAGCCTCTAATAGGTTTTTACTAACTTACCAACATGTTGAACAATTCTTTCTACCTCCATGTGCACTCAAGTAGTAAAATGCAAAAATTAGCATTTCTTGCCAAATCCCTCAACATTCTGAGACAGAGGCTGTTGTAATTCTAGCCTATGAAAACTGACTTAGTTTCCCCTTAGGCTAGGAAAAAAGACAAAAATAAGAGTCAGCTTTCTTTATCATATAAAGAATTACTTGCTAGTAGAAATAGTGTGGTGTTTATTTCTAATTGATATATTATGTACACTGAATTAGGGAATGACTAATCAATTGCTGGCATTTGAATTGTTTTTATGAATGGTTTGTGAATGGATGTCTAATCACATAAATGAAGATATTACGGCTAATTGTAGACAAGCAATTGCTTTCTTGGCTTTCTACCAACTGATAATCATTATACATGGCATGGGTTCATGTGGCATCAAGGACTTGATTTTGTTTGGGAAAACCAATGAATGGCTACAAGAAGGAATGCGAGAACTAAAGCACAATAGAGATACTGAAAATGCTTTTGCTTAATCTTTAAACTATTTTGTTTTCTTCCAAGGTTATTCATCATTCTATTAACTGTCATCAGCATTATGTGGGTCCCATTTGTACAGATATCTCAAAATGCACAACTATTCCATTATATAGAATCGGTTTCTAGCTACCTTGGGCCTCCAGTTGCAGCTGTCTTTCTACTTGCCATCTTCTGTAAGAGAGTCAATGAACAGGTAGGTGAAAGTTGGGGAACGTCTTCCCTGCAGAAGTGAAAAAAAAAGTTTATCTCTCTGGGAGAGTAAAATGCATCTTTTTTCAGCCTATTTATACACCTCAAATCCCATCTCAATATTGGTTTCAGTCAGCCACAATTCCTGATTCTCTCTAAAGTGTGTAACTATATATTGCACTCCATAGTATGATGTTAACATTCCTACAAAATACTATGTACATATATGGCATAGTGCTGAACACTACAGGTTTTAGCGTCAGATTACCAGGGTCCAGTCTTGGCTCTGCTATCTTAATAGCATTGTGATTTTAAGCAAATCACTTGTCTCTCTGTGTCTCCCTTATCTGTAAGGTGAAGATAATTGTACCTATTTTATGGGGTTGGGGTTGTGAAGATTATTTGAGATAAAATATATAAAGGGTTTAGAAGGAGGCCTAACACTCTAATAATGGTTCAAATATATTAATTACTTGTGTATATATATGTGTGTGTGTGTGTGTGTGTGTGTATGTATGTATGTGTATGTATATATATATATATATATATATATATTTGGTTAATTGATTATTAGAGACCATTATGAAGTCTTTAGGTGGTGCAAATTGTTAAGTACCTACCCAGTGGAACCTTGGAAGACAGACCTGGCAATCTGCTTTCAAAAGGTCACAGCCTTGAAAACTTTATAGAACACAGTTCTACTCTGACACACATGGGCTCACATGCATCAGAATTGATTCTATGGCAACTAACAGCAACAGCATAGTTCATGTACATTTAATCTCTTAATTTTTCCTACATATTAGCCTTACTTTTATAATTTTCATATGAGAAATAGGTTCAAAGGGGTTAATATCTTTGTGCCTCACACAATTACTTAATATTAATAAATGAGGTCATTGGGATTCAAACTCAGGCCTTCCTATATAAAATACTCATACTCTTTACCTTCACACAATATTGCATCCCTTAAAGATAACATATTGAACAGGGTAAGAGGGGGAACATGTTTTCACCCTTATCAACTTCTCAGAGAAACAAATGCTTTTAATTGTCAAAATCTTAATGGAACAGTTAAAATACCTAATATCAATGTTGTAAAATGTTGAGTCATAGTTTTATTTTATTATATAAAATAACTCATAAGCTCTTAAAATCTGTATATAAAAGTCAAGGAAAATTTCAGCTTGGATCAGGGTAGACAGTGGTGTTACAGATTCGGAGAATCAACAGAGCAACGACATTTCAGGACCAAGGAGAGCAACAACCTACTCATATAACACGTTTTTGTTACTTTCCCTGCTTTGGTAACCTTGTGCTTAAGGTTAGCGGTACGTTGATCCTTAGGTTGAGAAAGCAGGCAGGGTGATAATTATGAGTTACTATAATGAGCTTCTCGTCTTTTCTAAAAACTCTGATTTTGTTCTTGTTTCTTTTGCAGGGAGCCTTCTGGGGTCTAATCATTGGACTCATAATTGGCCTTATCCGTATGATTGCAGAGTTTGCCTATGGAACAGGGAGTTGCTTGGCTGCCAGTGACTGTCCTAAGATTATCTGTGGAGTGCACTATCTGTACTTTGCAATCATCCTCTTTTTTGTGTCCATCTTAGTTATCCTGGGACTCTCCCTGAAAACCAAACCCATTCCTGCTGTACATGTGAGTAAGGAGTAATGAATTAATGCTCATTTTTAAAGAAGGACTCTTTGCCTCCTAAAACTGCAACTAGTGTTCAAGTTTCAGGCCAATGGAATTATAGCACTAAAGAGCAGTACAGCTAAAAGGAACCTAAGAGAATATCATCCAGTCATTAAATCAACCACAATATGCACCTAATATGTGCAGGGCACCAGTGAATTTAAAAATAAGGCATTAGGAAATGGACTTCATCCTCAAAAAAAAATTTCACAGTGCAGTTGGGAGGTAATTTATACCATTATACAAGATGCCAGGAAAAGCATAATTAGTGTTCCCTGAGACACTGGGCAAGACTTCACAGTAGTGCTGTCACCCGGGGTAGACTTGTTTGGGGCAGTAGAATTTCATACACAGCATGAATACTGGCCCAGAGGCTAAAAAAAAAAAAAGCACATGGTACCAGTGAGCAGAAAAAAGCAAAATAGAACAGTGACATGCAATTTTTATTTAAGATAGGCAGAAAAAGTTTAATTTGTATAATTTCCAGTGTTGCCAAAGATGTGGGGAAATACCCAAAACTGTTGGTAAGTGTATGAATTTGTATCATTTGTAAGACAGCAATTTGGCAGTATCTCTCTACTCTAAAATTTCTCATACTCTATGAGTCAACAATCCAACTTCTAGGAGTCTATTATGTAGAAATTCTTGTGCAAGTAGGAATACACATATATACAAGAATTTTCTCTGTAGCTAGGTTTCTAATAGCAAACAAAGAAATGTAGATAACCCCAATTTCCATCACTATAGAAATAAGTACACAAATAATTTTACTTTGAATATTTTGCAGCTACTTGAAAGTATGATGGAGCTCTATTGAATGCCCATGATATAGTTACGTGGAAAAAAACCACTTGAAGAATATTATAATATGGTATAATACAGTAAAACCTGCGATAGCCAGAAGCTATGTAAGGCAGAAACCTAACCTGTCAGAGACAGAAAACTCAAATATTTTCCACTAATAGAAAGCAATAGAAAAGAGGTAAGATTGCACCCTGTCAAAGGCAGAAAACTTGCAAGACTCAGAAAAACAAGACCGTCCTATCCAGTTCTGGCTCTCACAGGTTTCACTGTATCATTTTCATATACAAGTAGGTGTATGTACATGTTTGTCTAAGCATAGAAAAAAGTCTTAAGGCATACATGCCTGGAAGTGTTGAGAAGCGGTATCTCTGGGTAAGGCACGGTAAGGCACTATAGTAAATGGCAAATGTTAAACATTTTTTAAATTTAATACTGCTTATACACTTAGATTGTTTGAATTTCTGACTAACACGTACAACTTACATGTATTTTTTGCATTTATCACTTGTAATCTTCACTGCAATACTAATTTGCATATTTCTTAGTGGAGTGACCACAGATTATGTATGGGTGGGGAAACCTGAGGCCCAGGGTCGTTTAAATGACTTTACCAAGGATATGTCACTGGAATTCATAAGTAAATATTTATGCTGAATATTAAGACTTGAACAGGATGAAAGAACATTAGAAAACATATCATAGTTTTCAAGAAATAAATATAAATGTTAAACTCTTTTATGCCAGTAGAAATCACTATATTATTTATTTTGAGGAAAAAATTTGCTTGCAAAATCATTTACTAATTTATGCTTGTGTTTCACTAATACACTGTGAGATATGAACTTCCAAAACGCATTGATGAAAATCAATATCTTTTTCAGCGAAAGTCATGAGTAGTATTGCAGAACTAACCTAGGAGTGCAGTATAGAAAAATCCCAGGATGACAGGTTTTCAGCAGGACAGCTACCTGGCCAACTAATTGGAGGAGACACATGTTGTGCCATTCCAAAGAATAGCGACCAAATGGAATGCTAAAGTTATCTAACAATATCCTATGCTAACAAAATTTTGCTGAAGATAGTTCAAAAATGACTGCAGCCATACACTGACAGAGAACTGCCAGAAGTTCAAGATGGATTCAAAAGAGGGCATGAAACAAGGGTTATCATTCGTGGTGTCAAATAGATCTTGGCCAAAAGCAGAGAATATCAGAAAGACGTTTGCCTGTGTTTTACTGAGTACACAAAGGCATTCGCCTGTGTAGCTCATAATAACTATTAGATAACATTATGAAGAATGGGAATTCTAGGATACTTAATTGTGTTCACACAGAACCTGTACATGGATCAAGAGGTAGTTTTTCAAACAGAGCAAGGGGATACTGTGTGGTTCAGAAGTGGAAAAGGTGTGAGTGTGGGGCAGTGTTATGTGTCAACTTGGCTAGGCTATGATCCTCAGTGGTTTGGCAGACACTATGTAATCACCTTCCATTTAGTGATCTGATGTGAGCAGCCAATCAGTTGAAAGGGGAGTTTCCTTGAGGGTATGGCCTGCCTCCAGTAAATAAATGGATGTCTTGAAACTACACCCTTCTCTTCACCTGATCTCCAGTTCTTGGAATATAAGCCTGCAGAATTATCTTGCCTACTTCTAGACCTGCAGATTTAGGATTAGCCAACCACTGCAACCCCATGAGCCAGCACAGGCCTCCAATCTGCCACCTGACCTGCGTATTTTGGGTTCATCAGCCCCTGCAACCATGTGAGCCAGCAGAAATTTTCAGCCTGTTGCCTGACCCACAGATTTGGGATTTGCCAGCCCCCACAATTGCATGAGCCATTTCCTTGAAGTAAATTTCTATGTAGAACTGTATATGCTACACTGGTTTTAGTGCTCTAGAGAACCCAGACTAAGACAGGCAGAATTGTATCTTTTCACCCGACTTATTTAATCTGTATGCTGAACAAATAATCTGAGATGCTGGACTATATGAAGAATAACACAGCATCAGGATTGGAGAAGGACTCATTAACAACCTGTAATATGCAGATGACACAAACTTGCTTGCAGAAAGTGAAGACAATTGAAGCACTTACCGATAAAGGTAAAGTACCACAGTCTTCAGTATAGATTACACCTGAACATAAAGAAAATGAAAATTCTTACAAATGAACCAATAAGCAACATCATGATAAATGGAGAGAAAATTGAAGTCGTGAAAGATTTCATTCTAGTTGGATAAACAATCAATGCCCATGGAAGCAGAAGTCAGAAATCAGACAACATATTGCACTGGGCAAATTTGCTGCAAGAGACTTCTTTAAAGTATTAAAAAGCTACGATCTCACTTTGATGACTAAGGTGCACCTGACCAAAGCCATGGTCTTTTGGATTGCCTCATATACATGCAAAAACTGGACAATGAAAAAAGAAGACAGAGAAGAAATGGTGCATTTGAATCGTGTTGGCAATGAATATTGAATATACTGTGGACTGCCAGAAAAATGAACAAATCAGTCTTAGAAGAAATACAACCAGAATGCTCCTTACAGGCAATGATGATGAGACTTTGTTTTGCTTACTTTGTACATGTGTTCAGGAAAGATCACCTGCTAGAGAAGGACATCATGTTTGGTGAAGTAGAGGGTCCACGAAAATGAGGAAAACCATCAATGAGATGGATTGACACGATAGCCACAACAAAGGATTCAAACATACCAACAATCATAAAGATGACACAGGACCAGGCAATGTTTCATTCTGTTATACATAAGGTCAACGTGAGTCAGAGCCAGTTCAACTGCAACTAACAACAGAAAGTAGCTGGTCCAAGTTGGAACAGAAATTCAAGGATCTACAAGAAGAGTTTTCACAAAGAAGTAGATTTAGCAAAAGAAATATTATGGTTTAGGAGCTTAAGAAGCTGTAATTAAGAATCTTAGTGACAAGGTGAAAGTAAATGCTTGTTATGTTAATAACAAATTAAAAAAAACAAGTACAAATTCCAGTAAAATAAATCTGTGCAATAAAGTCGTGGGACAAATATGAAGCCAAGTGAAACGAGGCATGACTTTAAGAATCAATTGAGCTTAAAAACCCAATTGATCCTTGGAATAATTTCCTCAGAATGATCCAAGGCTGATATTTCTTCATTGTGGCCAATGGCATATCTTGGACCTGTGGGGGGAAAAAGTTATATAATCATAATAGCATAAATGTTATTTACTTACTTTTAATTATTAAAATCAACATACAAAGCATGGAAATATTAATCATATTTACAGAAAAAATTAAAATTCTACAAAAATTAACTATTTAAAAATAATGGAAAATCTGACAGAAGTTGGGAGGTGGATTGGGAAAGTGACATGTGAGGGTATTAATTGCTCTCAGACTTGTGAATAGTACATAAATACTACCTAAACATGCTGCATCCAAAATGAAGCTTAAGAAGATATTTTAAAAGTTTCAGTAGCATTAGAGGTGCTGAAAATAATAATGCTGTATCTGATAACTGTTGGGTGATGGAGACAATGAGTGAAGCCAGAGTATAGTGTAAATGAGCTAAATCCTCAACTTTTACGAACTTATAAACCAACAGGTAGAGGTTTTAAGGCTTATTATTTAGATTGTGAATAACTACCAGAAGAATTTTTAAAAAGAAATAATTAAAAGTAGTTAGTGTGTTTTGGTGAGTGGGTGTGGTAGGAGACATTTTCTTTGAGATCTGTACTCTCCTCAGCTGTTTGATTTGTTTAAACCATACAATAAACGAAAACACCCTAGTATTATTGTAAACATTTCCCCATCACTGACGGACTTGTGTATGGTCTCTGGTCAGCTCTATCGCCTGTGCTGGACTCTTCGAAACAGTACAGAGGAACGCATTGATTTAGATGCAGAAGACAAAAGACAGGAAAAAGCTGATGATTTTGAAGAAGGTAATATCTGGTTTCCATTTGGCTTTCATATAGGAACTCTGTGTGCCTGGCTTAGTTTAAGGTTCTTAAATGCCACAAAATTCAGCTTCTGCAAAAGCTGTTACATTTGTGGAAAATCTTAACTTCCTTACAACCAAAACAACTTGTTTCATATGAAATCTACCCATTTATCTGTCTGTCCATCACATAACTGGAATTATGTGTCAGCTACTGAACTGACAATCAATTCCAACTTCTCTTGTTCTTAGTCACATTTTAAGTGTTCAATAAATTAGTCTTGATTGATTTTGACTAGGCATTTATCCCCACCTCCTTCTCCAAACTTATTTCTCACTATTCTCCACAATATACCATTAATTCCAAACTTACAGGTTTTCTCACTTCCCCACATATACAAAACTCATGACTTCCTAGGATATTTCTACCTCTCCAGGAGCCCTGGTAGCACAGTGGTTAAGCCCTTGGCTGCTAACAGAAAGGTTAGCAGTTCAAACCCACCAACTGTTCCATGGGAGAAAGATGTGGCAGTCAGCTTCTGTAAACATTACAGCCTTGGCAATGGAAGTCAGAATTAGTGAGACTAAAGATAAAGCACTTGACAACAAGTTATTTGAGGAAAAATCAGATTTTTAAAAGGATTTTTAAAAAATGAAGAAAACCTAAGAATTATGTAGGATTCTATCAAGAGAAATAACCTATGAGTGACTGGAGTACCAGAATGGAGGGATAACAAAAAAAATAGAGAGGATTGTCAAAGATTTGTTGGCAGAAAACTTCCCTGATATCGTGAAAGATGACAAGATATCTATCCAAGATGCTTATCGAACCCCACATACAGTAGGTCCCAAAAGAAAGTCACCAAGACATGTTATAATCAAAATTGCCAAAACCAAAGATAAAGAGAGAATTTTAAGAGTGGCTAGGGATAAACGAAAAGTCATCTACAAAGAAGAGTCAATAAGAATAAGCTTGGACTACTCAGCAGAAACCAAGCAGGCATGAAGGCAATGGGATGACATATATAAAACCTTGAAGGAAAAAAAAAAAATTGCCAGCCAAGAATTATATATCCAACAAAACAGTCTCTCAAATATGATGGCGAAATTAGGGCATTTCCAGATAAACAGAAGTTTAGGGAATCTGCATAAAACCAAACCAAAATTACAAGAAATACTAAAGGGAGTCCTTCGGTTAGAAAATAAGTAATATCAGATAATAACCCAAGACTAGAATACAGGACAGAGCAACTAGATATCAACCCAGATAGGGAAGTCAAAAAATAAATCAAAGTTAAAACACTGAAAATAGGGAAACAGAGATGTCAATATGTAAAAGATGACAACATTAAAACAAAAAAGAGGGACTAAAATATATATATATATATTTTTTTTTCATATGAAGAGGAAGACAAGACAATATAAAGAAATAAAAGACTGGTTTAAACTTAGAAAAATAGGAGTAAATATTAAGGTAACCACAAAGGAAACTAACAATCCTACATGTCACAATAAAAAACAAGAAAAATATAAAGACTCAGCAAATACAAACTGAACAGTGAAAAAGATGAAAAGAAAACACATTTAAAAAAATACTCAGCACGGAAAATTAAGTGAAACAACGAAACTGTCAACAACACACACAAAAAGACATCAAAATGAAAGCACTAAACTCATACCTATCAATAATTACACTGAATGTAAATGGACTAAATACACCAATAAAGAGACAGAGAGTGGCAGAATGGCTTTAAAAACACGAGTGGTCTATATGCTGCCTACAAGAGACACACCTCAGACTTAAAGACACAAACAAACCAAAACTCAAAGGATGGAAAAAATATATCAAGCAAATAACACTCAAAAAAGAGTAGGAATGGCAATAATAACCTCTGACAAAACATACTTTAAAGTAAAATCCACCACAAAGGTTAAGGAAGGACACAACATAATGATTAAAGGGTCAATACACCAGGAGGACATAACTATAATAAATATTTATGCACAAAAATTTATGCACAAAAGGGTTCTAAAAAATATAAAACAAACTCTACCAGCATTGAAAAGAGAGATAGACAGCTCTACAATAATAGTAGGAGACTTCAACACACCACTTTCAGTGAAGGACAGAACATCCGGAAAGAAGCTCAATAAAGACATGGAATATCTAAACGCCACAATCACCCAACTGAATCTCATGGACATATACTGAACCCCCCACCCAACAGCAGCCAACTATACTTTCTTTTCCAATGCACATGGAACATTCTCCAGAATACAGCACATATTAGGCCAGAAAGCAAGCCTTAACAAATTCCAAAGCATCAAAATATTACGAAGCATCTTTTCTGACTATAAAGCCATAAAAGTAGAAATCAATAACATAAAAAGCAAGGAAAAAAATCAAACACATGAAAACCGAACAATACCTTGATCAAAACTATGGGGTTATAGAAGAAATTAAGGATGGAATAAAGAAATTCATAGAATCTAAGAAGAATGAAAACACATCCTACCAGAACCTTTGGGAAACAGCAAAAGCAGTGCTCAGAGGTCAGTTTATAGCAATAAATGCACACATCCAAAAACAAACCAAAAAAAAAGGCCAAAATCAAAACATCAACCCCAGAACTGGAACAAGCAGAAAGAGAGCAGCAAAAGAAGCCCTCGGAGCCAGGAGAAATGAAATAATGAGAATTAGAGCAGAATTAAATGAAATGGAGAATAGAAAAAGAATTGAAAGAGTTAACAAGACCAAAAGCTGGTTCTTTGAAAAGATCAACAAAATTGATAAACCATTAGCCAAAATGACAAAAGAAAAACAGTAGAGGAAGCAAATAACCCATATCAAAAATGAGATGGGTGATATCACAACAGACCCAACAGAAACTAAAACAATCATAACACAATACCATGAAAAACTGTACTCTAACAAATTTGAAAACCTAGAGGAAATGGACAAATTTCTAGAAACTCACTACCTACCTAAACTAACACAACCAGAGGTGGAACAACTAAATAAACCTATAAAAAAAGACGAGATTGAAAAGGTAATTAATAAACACTCAACCAAAAAAAAAAAGCCCTGGCCCGGACGGTTTCATTAGAGAATTCTACCAAACTTTCAGAGAAGAGTTAACACCACTACTGCTAAAGGTATTTCAGAGCATAGAAAATGATGGAATACTCCCAAAGTCATTCTATGAAGCCAGGATAACCTGATACCAAAACCAGGTAAAGACAGCACAGAAAAAGAAAATTATAGACCAATATCCCTCATGAACATTGACACAAAAATCCTCAACAAAATTCTAGCCAATAAAACACAGCAACATATATTTAAAAAAAAAAAAAAAAACATGATCAAGTGAGATTTATACCAGGTGTACAGGGATGGTTCAACATTAGAAAAACAATCAATATAATCCATCACATACATAAAACAAAAGACAAGAACCACATGATTTTATCAATCAATGCAGAAAAGGCATTTGATAAAGTCCAACAACATTCATGATAAAAACTCTCAACAAAATAGGAATAGAAGGGTAATTCCTCAATATAATTAAGGGCATTTATACAAAACCAACAGCCAACATCATCCTAAATGGAGAGACTTTGAAAGCATTCCCCTTGAGAATGGGAACCAGACAAGGATGCCCCTTTCACCACTCTTATTCAACACTGTGCTGGAGGTCCTAGCCAGAGCAATTAGGCTAGAAAGAGAAATAAAAGGCATCCAAATTGTTAGGGAAGAAGTAAAAGTATCTGTATTTGCAGATGATATGATCTTATATACCAAAAAAACCCCAAAGAATATACAAGAAAACTGCTGGAACTAATAGAAGATTTCAGCAAAGTTTCAGGATACAAGCTAAACATACAAAAATCAGTTGGATTCCTCTACACCAACAAAGAGAACTTTGAAGAGGAAATCACCAAATCGATACCATTTACAATAGCCCCCAAGAAGATAAAATACTTAGGAATAAATCTAACAAGAGACATAAAAGACCTATACAGTGAAAACTACAAGACACTACTGCAAGAGAGCAAAACAGACTTGTATAAGTGGAAAAACATACCTTGTTCATGGATAGGAATATTCAACGTTATGAAAATGTCAATTCTACCCTAAGCGATCTACAGATACAATGCAATCCCAATCCAAATTTCAACGGCATTTTTTAATGAGATGGAGAAACAAATCACCAATTTCATATGGAAACGAAAGAGGCTCTGGATAAGTAAAACATTACTCAAGAAGAAGAACAAAATGGGAGGCCTCACACTACCTGATTTTAAAACCTATTATATTGCCACAGTAATCAAAATGGCCTGGTACTGATACAACAACAGATACATAGACCAATGGAACAGAATTGAGAATCTGAACACAAATTCATCCACCTATGAGCAGCTGATATTTGACAAAGGCCCAAAATCCATTAACTGGGGAAAAGACGGTCTCTTTAACAAATGGTGTGGGCATAACTGAACATCCATCTGCAAAAAAATGAAACAAGACCCATACCTCACACCATGCACAAAAACTAACTCACAATGGATCACAGACCTAAATATGAAACAGAAAACAGTAAAGATCATGGAATAAAAAGATAGGGGCAACGCTAGGAGCCCTAATACATGGCGTAAACAGAATACCAACCATACGTAACAATGCACAAACACCAGAGGAGAAACTAGATAACTGGGAGCTCCTAAAAATCAAACACTTATGCTCATCAAAAGACTTCACCAAAACAGTAAAAAGACATCCTATAGACTGGGAAAAAAAATCTGGCTATGACAAATCCAATCAGTGTCTAATCTTTAAAATCTACAAGATACTGCAAAACCTCAACAACAAAAAGACAACCCAATTAAAAAATGGACAAAGGATATGAACAGGCACTTCACCAAAGAAGACATTCAGGCTGTTAATACACACATGAAGAAATGCTCATGATCCTTAGCCATTAGAGAAATGCAAATCAAAACTAC